GTTATTCTCTTGAGATTGTCGCTGTTCGCGACAGGGTGGCGAATCGAACGATGTCGTAAATGCCAAGGCTGCATTGACATTGGCGAACAGATGGGATGAGAGAACCAGCAAACGTGGCAGGGCGCCTGGATTTCCGGGTTGCCAGCTTGTCCTTCTGGATGTCTGCGATTCTTTACAATCATGTCATGATGTTAACCTAAGCTCCCTTTGAGCCAACTTTCTCTGAGAAACGTAACATTGAATGAAAAGAACATGCACTTTCTAGAGCTTACCCTCCGACCCCAGCTTCTCTAACTTCGTGGTCTTTTTCGAAGTAAAGCCGAAATGAAATCAAACAAAATGCCTTTCCGGTTGCAAAAAAAACAGGTGTTACGATTTAAATATATTACGGTAACTATTTCACTAGTGTGCAGGTGCAGCAACAAGTGGTTGCGCACTTGCTTGAACTTCCAAACTTATCCTTATATTGTCATCCTCCGGGTGGCCTTGCCGAGCCTGCGTTGCTGAACCTTGCACTTGAACCCCAGCGCTCGATCTGTGAACACTCGCCTCTTGAATGGTGGATTCGGAAGATGCGTGTGACAAGAGCTGGATATCACTTGCCATCTCCAAATCATTTGTCGACGAGGAAGATGACGAGGAGGCAGATAAGGCGGTTGCCTCTGCTTCGGGTGTTTTCTTTGGGGTTCGAGCGATGCGCTTGCAGACAGGGCAGAAGGGCTGTCGGGTTGTAAGCCACTCGTCCACGCACTCGGTGTGGAACTCTGCACGGGGGAAGAAATGGGTGACAAGGAAAAAAAAAACACACACACACAAAATAAACGTTACGAAAGCATGAAGTGATGAATGAGAGGGTCTCTGGTGCAAGATGACATGGGAGCAGAAGCAAGGAAAGGAAGGAGAATCAACTGTGAGTATGACATTGGGTAGTAACCCGGTCCCCATCTTTGTACAAAGCACTGTCGTTCTTTCCACCTCCTCATCTTAGCAACACTTACCGTGACTGCATGGCAGGACTCTCAGCCGGTCCCCACACTCATAGTCCTCCAGGCAAATCGCACACGTCTCCCACGTGCTTCTGTAAATCACCTCCTCCTCCCCATCCCCTTCCTCCTCCTCTCCCTCTGCACTGCGGAAAGACACTCTGCTTCGCACACTGCTCTGCCGACTCAGCTCCACACCAGGAAAGCCACCCAAATCCACGTCTCCCCGTTGGATATAGTCACACGAGGGCCTCCGCCCTTCCGTTTTTATCACAATATCTGCCTGATGCTTCCCCTTGAGTTTCTCCTGACTACTCCCATCTGCTTTTTCAGCCTCTTCCTTCCTGTCAGCCTCCTCCTTTTCAACCCCTTCACCGCCATCCCCCTTGCTGCTGCTGCCGTCCTTCTTTCCAGCATCTGCCCGTTTGAGACTCGGCAGCCCCAGAAAAGTTTTCTCGGGCAGCGCCATAACCTCCTCCAAAGTCATTTTATCCGGCGAGGCGGTCAGCTGAATGGGCAGAAAAGCCGGATTCACCCCCGCAGCCGCCGCCGCTCCCGCCACCGCGTTCCGAATCCTATACCGGCAGACGCAGAGAAACGCGAGGAGCATAATGCCGATAGCGAGGAGGGAGGAGATCCAGATGATAAAGGACCAGGAGTAGGCGGAGGTGGTGTAGTATGGCTGCGCGGGGTAGAGGATGGCTATGGACTCAGGGTAGGGCTGTATGACTGAGAGAATGGTGGATGCGTCTTCGAGGGAGATGAAGGTGGAGGGTATCATGATGCTCATGCGCTGATTTTCCGTCACTGGGGGAGACGAGGGGATGGGGTGGGGGAGGAGGGGGAGGGGGAAAGGAGGCAGAAGGAGGGGGGAAGGGGGATGATTGAGTTTACTCAAAAGCGTGACTGAAAGAATGGTGGATGCGTCTTCGAGGGAGATGAAGGCGGAGGGAATCATGATGCCCATGCGCTGGTTTTCCGTAACTGGGAAAAGGAGCGGCGGGGCGGAGGGGAAGGTGGAAGAATTGGGGACTAAAGGAACGCAGAGAGTCGGAAATGGGTCATTGGGGGATCTAGGCCATGGCGCAATGGGGGACTTCGGGAAACTGGAAAAAGGGCGAAATGGGGCAATGGACGGGAACGGGGAAACGCAGAGGATGCGAGGGGTTTGCTAGTGAAGGTGAAGGGACAAGCAACGCAAGTTGTGTGAGAACAGTGATCACTTACTTATAGCGAGGTCTTGGTTTGATTCGTTATTGTACACGACCGCTGCAGCGAACCCCGCAAACTGCGCGTTCTGCACCTTCCGCCCGAAGGAGCAGTCCCCGCGCGCGATCAGCGCGAACTGGACGGTGCCGGGCTGCACGCGGTTCTGAATCGGTTGGCATGCGTTGGCGGGTAGCGTCGGATACAGCCGTCCCCAGAGGCCGCTGAACGGGATGACGGGGCCTGAAGAGGAGTACGAGGGAGTAAGGAGGAGTATGAGGGAGTGCAACGGAGTGAGAGCAGCAGAATGGAAGAGTTAGGCAAAAAAACATCAATGGTGAGTCGAGACAGAAGGAGGGCGCGCGGTGGCGAGGCGAAGGCAGGGAGCGAGGGAGGGGCAAGGAACGGGGCGGGGAGGAGGGGAACGTGGAGGCGGAAAGGGAGAGGCAAGTGGGGCCGGAGAGGGAAGAGGGGACGAGTGATGGGGGCAAGGCGAGGGAGGGAGGGAGGGCCTATACTAGGCGGCCAACCTCCCCTTGCTCTGGCAGCGCATGGAGGCCGATGTCGAAGAGCTTACCGAAGTCGGCGTCAGTGGAGGCGAAGGAGTAGCCGAGCTGCTGTGGCGACTTGAGGCGCAGGAGACCCGCGGCGACGGGCGCGAGGCGGAGCAGCGCGACGAGCAGCAGCAGGGGGAGGGGGAGACTGCGCAGGCCGCGAGGGAGATTGCGCAAGCCGCGGGAATGGCATCGGGGGAGCGGCGGAGGAGCGGGGTTGGCGGAGCTGGGGGGCGCGAGACGGCGCGCGGAGGGGAGGCGGGGTTCGCGGGGCTTCGGCATTCCGGCTCCGCTGCTCCCGGCTGGGCGGTTGTAGCAAGCAATGAGGTTAGTTCCGCGGCGCCTTGAGAATAGAGTGAGCGGCTGTAGCACGCGACGGGGTTATTCCTGAGGCGCCTCGAGGCTAGTGTCAGCGGTTATAGCGTGCGACGAGGTGAAAAGGATACGACGGCGAGGTTGAATCAGGACGAGCGTAACGCAGGATGTCTAATGCTATCACGATATCGGTGCGTGTAGTAACGAGGCGCTGTGATCCACTGCGACCCACTACAAGTCTGCTTCACACTGAGTTATCTCGAGTAACCGTCCAGAAGCTAACAAGCCCCCGCGCAACGCCTTCCGAATTCTATTCCTGTCGGCGGGCCGACTAATAACGAGAACCTGGAAGCACAATAGCAGCTTGTGCGACGACGGGCATGACGACTGCCAGCAGGAGTCAACAGGAGTGGACGACTAATCAGTCAGTTCGGCTTGGGCAAGGCGACTGCCAGAAGTCACACTCTATCCAGCAAAAGCCGCCCGGGAAATTCGCGGATCACGGTTCCTGAGAACCTTGGGAGTGGCAGGATAGAAAGGAAAGCGTTTGTGTGTGATGTGATGTGCGTGTGGATGCCAACTTCACCAGCTACAGCTGGGGTGGGTCGTGCAGGGAGGGTGGGTGGGTGGTGGTGTGTTGGTGGTGATCAGGCCTGTCGATTGAGGGGCATATGCCCTTAATGCCCTGAAATTCCGGGCTACTTTTGCTCCAGCTCGACTGCATAAAGTGTTAGGATCGCCCTGCACCCGTGCCACTAAGTGCTTCGTTCGACCCTTCCCCGGATGCGTTAAGTGCTCCAACCAGGCCTTCCCCACCCATAAAGTTTTGATTTCCGGTTCTAGGACCCCCCCCCCCCCCAAGGAATTTTGCCTGACCCCCCCACTCCCCCCCCCTTTCTCCTTAGGTTGCACGAGAGCGCGCCAAGGGGATTGTTCTCTTAGCATTTTCTAGCCAATCCCGTGTTTGTGATATCTCTAAGTAAGCTTTGGAGCGGCCGAACTTTCCCTTAGCTAAGATAGTGTAAGTGCAAGCCCGGATATCAAGTTTTCACTTTGGCCTGCGCCCGTGACCGTTAAGGGCGCCAAAACACTCAGCTACGGCCAAAACAGGGTCAGATAGGGAGGAGCTGGGGACTCCAAGTATGGGCCCCGGGAACTTCGACAGGCCTGGTGGTGATGTGCTTGTTTGGTTGCTAGCTATCAGCTACTAAACGCAACAAAACCAAATTTACACACAAAACGTTTTACGTATTCCGTGCTGACACAAATGCAGGGCAGATACAGTACAGTGCAAGGAATAGACGGGCAAGGAAGGAGCGTCTTTTTCGTCACCGTCCGTGTTTCTACGGCCTAGCGCGATTTACGCTTCGCGTCGCGCCCATCGCACCGAATCACAGCTTTCCCAACGAGATGTCGTCGTCACTCCCAAGGGTCATGTCGTTCTCGCCCAACCCGTTTGTGCCCCCTCCGAAGTCTGGGTTCGGGGCCATGAAAAGCAAAATTAGGTTCGGCACCAAAGAGGCCAATGACGCAAACACGTTGCACGAAGCCAAACGCGGTTCGTTGGCTTGGCAGCAAGGGGCACCTACCGCCGAACCGAGCCGGGTCCTGCCATGCGCATCAATCGTATCTGCGATGGGGTCTGAGGTGAGGTGGGTGGGATCACGAAGAATCCAGCTCGTCCGTCTTTTGTACGTTATGGTCTAATTCGTTGCGTCGCGGTGCAAAACATTGAACTCAAAGGATACTTTCAGGTATTAACATTCTAAAAGCTTACCTCAATTACACACCTTCAACAACCTCTATAATGTCTAGAATAATAGGTGGAATTCTACAAGGAATAGTTGCATACACATCTAGTACATAATACCAGATGACGGAAGAACCCTATATCACTCTGCCCAAGCTATTTACACAAAGTGCGGCGAAAGATATGCCCAAATTAATCTTCCTCTTCAACCTCCACTTCCTCTTCCATTTCATCCTCCTCATCCTCCTCTTCACTTCCCTCCCCATACTCCAACTGCTCCCTCCCTCCCCCTTCATCTCCAATTGCCCCACCTCCTCCTTCCCCTCCACCTCCCTCAATGCGTCCCACCCACCCTTCCTCTTCTTCCTCCCCATCCTCCTCCTCGTCCTCCTCGTCCTCCTCCTCGTCCTCCTCATCCCATCCACGAACCTCCCACGCCCCACACCCCAGCCTCCTCATCCCCCCACCGCCATCACCACCATCCCTTGAAGCACCAAGAGCAAGTGCCTCTGCACGTTTTTTTGTAACCTCTAGATGCCGAATCTGCATCTCATATGCTCCCACCAACCCCCTCACATCGCTCTCTCCCCCCAATGCACCGGCCAGGTAATTCACCCCCGGACCAATCACTTCCGAATCTCCTGATCCCGGACCTCCGTCTCTTTTCCCCGAACCTCTTCCCCGTCCTCCCCCCCTCCCTTTTCCAACGGCCTTTCCTCCCCTTCCTCCTCCTCGTCCTACTCCTCCTGTTCCCACACCCTTTACATTCCCTCTCCGTCCGCCTCGGCCCCCCCGTCTTGACTGACCCCCGCCTGCACGAGTAAATTATCACAACAATAAAGAGGAATGCAATAGTGGGGATCAGAACGAAGGTGAGAAAAATAGGAAGATACGGAACACCGGCTTTCAGAGTGCAGAGGCTCGGGATTTGAGATACAGTGTGGAAGGATTCATGATAAAAGAAAACGTACAGGTCAGTTATTCCCAGCATCTTATTTGCTTGTGCGGCTGTGCCTTTTTTTGAAAGGCAGAAAACCGGATTCGACACTGAAGTCAGAAACAAACAAACCATTCCTTGTACTAAGCAGAAACACTACTCACCTGCTGCGTGCGGCCGTGGTAGGCTGCTGCTCTGCTTCTCCCTAATGATTCGGTCCACATACATGGTGTACTGCAGAGAAGGGGAAATTGCGGTTCAAGGGGGTTGGGGTTCGGGGTTCAGGAACAAAGGTTCAGGGGTGTATATTAGAAGAGGCACTGTCGCGGCAGGCTGCTGCTCTGCCTCTCCCGAATGATGCGATCCACGTATGTGGTGTACTGCAGAGGGGGGGGGTTGGGGTTCAAGGGGGTTGGGAATCAGAATTGAGGTTCAGGGGTCATTCTTAGATAGAAGAGGCACTGCTGTGGCAGGCTGCTGCTCTGCCTCTCCCGAATAATTCGATCCACATATGTGGTGTACTGCCGAGGGGATAAACATTTCGGATTGGTGGAATGAAGAAGCAAATTCAGGTCAGGGCGAGATGGATTTAAGGGAAGGGCGTGTCCAGAAATTCAAGCCATGTTTACTCCCCCCTCCCCCTCCCTCTCTCCCACCTCTCACCGCGCACAACCCCCTGCCTTACCCCCGTTTCCCCTCAATGTCCCCCGATATCTCACCTTTTGTTTTAAACCTTCCGGAGTCTCCCCTCCTGAACCTCGTTCCGCGTTCCCCGAAGCAGCAGCAGCAGCAGAAGCGCCAGCAGCAGCAGGAGCTGGGGCAATGGCAGCAGCACCTGCTGCTGCTGCAGGGCCGTCCAGCCGCGCACGGGCAGCAGAGGCCATGGCGAAGGCAAGGCGGGGGGCGACAGAAGACATGGCGCTGATCTGCTCGTCGTGCTGTGTGAAGTCGTCCTTGTGCTGGCACTGCACTGCTTGCACCGCCTGTGAGTGTGAGTGGGATGCAGAGAGAAAGAGGGGCAGAGGTTGGAGGAATGGGAGAAGGGAAGTGCGACAGAAGCAACAGCGCTGATCTGCTCGTCATGCTGTGTGAAGTCGTCCTTGTGCTGGCACTGCACTGCTTGCACCGCCTGTGATGGGATAGTGGGGAAGTGAGGGTACGACAGGGAACCGCTGATTTCCTCATCATGCTGCGTGAAATCGTCCTTGTGGCGTGACTGCGCTGCCAGTACTGCCTATCGCGGGGGGTGGGGATGGGGGTGTGGGGGGTGGCGGGTGCAATAGATATATTAGTTGTATTCCTCATCATGCTGTGTGAAGTCGTCCTTGTGCTGGCACTGCACTGCTTGCACCGCCTGTGAGAGGAGAGGGGGGTGAAGGGGGTGAAGCAGCAGCAAGGGGGGTGAAGCAGCAGCAGAAGCAAAGGGGGGCGACAGCAGACATGGTGCTGATCTGCTCGTCATGCTGTGTGAAATCATCCTTGTGGCGTGACTGCGCTGCTTGCACCACCTGTGCATGGAGAGAAGGGGGTGGGGAAGTGGGAGGGCAGGGGATTGGGGTAGGCGTGACTGCGCTGCTGGCACCGCCTGTGCAGGCAGAGGCGGGGGGGGGGGAGTGGGAAGTGGGAGGATGGCGATTTTTTTTGGATCGGAGAGGGGGCGGGTATGCACATGGGAGGGTGAGATACACTTTGACCTGTATGGGATGTGGCAAGCGCAAAGCACACTTGCTCACAAGCAATCCTCTCAGAAAGCCTCCGCATGCCTGGAATGAAGAAGTGTTTTGAGACGTCTCAAAACACTTCTTCAATCACTTGCTCACAAGCAATCCTCTCAAAAAGCCTCCGCATGCCTGGAAGGCAAGGCACACTTGTCTCGCATCCTCGTGCATCCTCGTGTGCCATGCCAACACACCCCAAGTGCACGCATGCCTGGAAGGCAAGGCACACTTGTCTCGCATCCTCGTGCATCCTCGTGCATCCTCGTGCATCCTCGTGTGCCATGCCAACACACCCCAAGTGCACGCATGCCTGGAAGGCATGGCACACTTGTCTCGCATCCTCCTGTGTGCAGGTGCGTTTTGAGTCGACTCAAAACACAACCAGCAGAGCCAAGGTTTGGTATGCCATGCCAACACACCTGGAAGGCACACACACCTGGAAGGCACAGTCGGCTCGCATCCTCCTGTGTGCCGCCACCAACAGCCCAGCCTTTGTTTGAGGAAGCTTCCACCCTTTTTCTGCTCCGCCCGCCCCAATTCCGTCCACCGTCGCAACCTCCCTCCCGCCTCCCCTTCCCCTTCCACCCCCCCCAGCCGCGTCCCCTTTCCCCTTTCGCCGACCTGCCCCCCTCCCCCTACCTGCCCCCATGGCTGCTATTTCCTTCCCCACAACGGCCTTCCCCTTTCCCCCAACCACAATCGCCCCTGCTTCAGCACAATCGCCCACCAGTCTCCCTCTATTCCTCGCCGCACTGCGGCTCTCCCCCCTACAAATCTCAATCTCACCCATCTCCACCCCTTCCAACCCCTCCCCGCCTTCCCCTGCACCATCCGCACCTCCCCGAGGCCCAATCCCGACACAAGCAGCAACAAACGCAGCATGGGATGACTCCCCAACCGGCACCCCTCGCTGCTGTTGCTCCTGCCCCTGCTCCTCCTGCCGCCCCTCCTCCTCCCCCCTCACACCCCCTCCAATCAACCGCCTCTGCCTTTCCCTCCGTCTCGGCGGGGTCGGAAACTGCTCATGGTGCCGGTTAAAGCACTCAGTCGCCGTCTTCCCAGTCACCCACAGCGCCACCCTCTCCCAGAACCCGCTTTCATGCGGATTCACAGCACTCATGGCCTCGTGGTACGCTCTCACTTGACCCGCCGTCCACCCCATGTGATCCAGGGCAGGAGCGGCGCCAGGAGCGAAAGCAGGAGCAGAGACGGGGCTTTCAGGGGGATCATCTTGAGAGGGGTGGTTCTGACCGCGGTGGTTCTGATTGGCCCGGTTTCTAGGGGCGTGGGACGGTGAAGCCATAGGGTTACCAGCAGCGGCAGCGGCAGTGGCAGAAGCAGAGGCGGAGGTTGAAGCAGAGGGGCGATTGCGAGTTGATTCGGAGATGTTGACAGAGGGAAGAGGGGAGGGTGGGGGAGGCGCTGGGACCAGGGCAAGGCATTGGGGGTCGTGGGATGGGGATGGGGGATTGTGGGGTGATGATGGAGGAACATAGGATGGGGATGGGGGCATATGACAATCATCCTTCCCCTTCCCCACCTCCTTCCCCTTCCTTCCCCCCTTCCCCTTCCCTTCCCCCTTCCCTTCCCCCTTCCCTTCCCCCTTCCCCTTCCCTTCCCCCTTCCCCTTCTCTAGTCCCTTCCCCTTCCTTCCCCCGTTCCCCACATCCCCATTATCCCCTCGAGCAATCCTAGCCATCGATCTGGTCACTCTCACACTCCTCCTTTCCATTTCCTGCACCTCAACTCTCTTTCTTTTAAGAACATTCGCCCTCCCGTTCGCATCCCCATTCGCTTTCCCCTTCGCTTCCCCATCCCCTTTTCCCTTGCTTTTCCCCCCCTCTTGCTCCGCCCCTCCCCCACTCCCACCCAGTCCTCCATTCCCCTCCTCAACCCTCCCCACATCCCCCACACCAGCCGCCCCCACTCTCCCCTCCTCCCCACCCACACCTACTCTCCCCTTCTGCCCAGGCCTCGAGGTTCGGCACATCCGAGCCAGAGCAGCAGTCTTGGCAGCCCTACCAGGCACAGTTCTTCCTCCCGCCATTGTCCCATCAACGGTTCTCCCAGCTCCCCTCAACCCACTCGCTAAAGTCACACTTGTTACAGCATCCTTATCCGCAGCCTCCATTACAGGAGCTTCAACAACTTCCTTCTCCCTTCCATCCTCCCCGTTCCCTTCCACTTCTCCCTCCCCTCCACCCTCCCCTCTTCCCTCCTCTTCCCCCTCCCCTCCACCCTCCCCTCTTCCCTCCTCTTCTCCCTCCCCTTCACCCTCCCCTCTTCCCTCCTCTTCTCCCTCCCCTCCTGCGCCGCCATATCCATGCCCTTCCTCTCCACCCTCCATTTCCTCCTCCGTTCCTTCCTTCTCTCTCCTCTCCTCTCTCCTCTCCTCATCGCCCTCCCTCACCACCTCTCCACCCACATCTCCCTCCCCGCTTCCCCCCTCCTCCCTCCCACCCCCTCCTCCCTCCTCCACCACCGCCTCTCTCCCCCAATCCGCCTCCTCAGTCAAATCTATCATATCCTCTTTATCCTGCCCGCCTTCCCCACACTCTCCCCTCCGCCTAGGAGACTTTCGAGTTGCTTCAGTAGCCACCACTCTCCCCGCCCCTCCCTTTCGAGCAGAATTAACCAAACCCTCTGCTTCGACCCCAACTTGGGCACACCTCCCCCTCCCTCTACGCGACTTTCGAGGTGATTCAGAGGCCACTGCTTTCCCCGCCCCTGTCTTTGCAGCAACACCTTCCGCCTCAACCCCCGCTTGAGCAAACCTCTCCCTCCCCCTAGGCGACTTTAGGGCCAATTCAGTAGCCACCGCTCCTTCCCCACCTGTCCTTCCAACCAAAGCACCCACTCCCTCCTCGTCATCCACCCCTTGAGCACACCTTCCCCTCCCCCTAGGCGACTTCGACTTCTGGGCCGATTCAGTAGCCACTGCTCTCCCCACACCTGTCATCCCAGCCGAGGCACCCACACCCCCCGCCTCAACCCCCCCTCGCCCGCAACCCTTCCTCCCCCTAGGCGACTTCCGGGCCGATAAAGAAGCCGCTGCTCTCTCCCCATGTGCCTCTCCAGCCGTAGCACCCACATCCTCCGTCTCAACCCCCCCTTCCCCTTGAGCACACCTCCCTTTCCCCCTAGGCGACTTCCGGGCCAACTCAGAGGCCACTGCTCTCTCCCCATGTGCCTCTCCAGCCGTATCACCCACACCCCCCGCCTGAACAACTTCTTCTTCTTGCCCTTTCCGCCTCCTCTTGCTCTTCTGCTTCTCACCCACCTCCCTCGATCCATCCCTCTCTGCGCCATTCCCTTCCCCTTCCTCCTGCTCTTCCGCTCCACCCTGCTCTTCCATTCCCTCTTGCTCCTCCCCATCGCGAATCAAATCCCCAAGCAAGGCTGCAAAGAGCAGTGGGTAGCAGTGTGGTTGGCAGTGGCACGGACATATAAAAACACAAGAATAAGGAAGAATTAGACAGTAAAATTAATGGACAAAAAAGTGGACGAATCAGCAAGCCAAAACAGCTTGAACCAAGGAATGGCAATGGGGATGTGGCAACCACACACCTGTTACCTGAAGTGTGGTAACCACACAACTGTTACCTGAAGTGTGGTAACCACACATATGCTAACCTAATTGTGGCAACCACACATCTGGTAACCCGCATACCCTTCCTGATCATCTTCAACTCCTCTGCACGTGTGGTTGGCTGCAGTCCAAGCAAGACAGAAGGTCGCTCCACATCCTGCAGCCAATGCAGCAAGTAACGCAACGAGTAATGTAGCAAGCAGAAAGAGAGGAATAAAATCAAGAGAATCAGGGGTTGAGAAGTGTGGTTGGCTGCAGTCCTAGCAAGACAGAAGGTCGCTCCACATCCTGCAGCCAATGCAGCAAGCAATGCGTGAGATCAAGAAGATACAGAAAGAGAGGAATACAGCAAGAAAATCAAGTGCTGAGATGTCTCAAGCCCACCTTTACAAAAAAACAACGCACGAGGGTGACAGTACTAGGCAGGAATAGAGGCAAGGAGGCAAGAGCGTGAGGTAGGCAGGGAGCTTTCAAGGCAGCACAAAGCAGATGGTGGTTCAGGAATTGAGAACCTGGTATGAGTGTGCCACGTGTCACACGCCAGTTGCCCTAACGGAAATCTAACGGAACGTTGCTGCCTCAAAGACACACCTCAACGCTAACTCTCCCCCAACACAAAGCTGAACACTCACCACTGGACTGAAAATTCTCTCATGCAGCCAGTAGGCCAGGGGACGGAAGCGCGGGCGACCTGCGGGCAGCAGCAATGCATAGAGAACAGGTGGGGACACGGGTTTGGGAGGATGGGCACAGGGACCGGGCAGAGGAACGAAGGGAAGGTTTTGAGACGCCTCAACCCGGGGATAGCGAGCATATGGAGCAAGGGAATGAGGGAGTGAAGGAATGAGAGAACCAGGGTGCGAGCATTGGGAGACAGAGAACACGTGAAGGAGGGAGGGAATCACCCTTATGCAGCAAGATTGCACCCGCTCTATATCACACCAGCCTAACCCTAAACGCCAAAACATGGATTCAGGTTAACAGCAGAACCGTGTTTTTCAGGCAACTAAAAAATTAGGGTTTCTGAGGCGGGTGAACACGGCCTTAACCCTATAAGCCAGAACAAGGTCCAGTCCAGGGTAGTAAGTCAAAATCGGGTTTGGCTAAAATTCAAAGCATAAAATGTGCAGCAGGGGGGCGCTAGATGGGAGTGTAAGGAGCGGGAAAAAAAACGAGATGCGGAGGGTGGCAGGAAGGAGAGCGAGACGGCTGGTGGGAAGGAGAGTGAGGTGTGCGGCAGGAATGAGAGTTTGAGGGGATTCGCACCACTCCTTGAGTATTCCACTACAATGCCAGGGCCAATGGTGGCGGGTCTGGGAGGTCTAGAGTTGGAAGCACCCCCTCCAGCTGGGGTATTCATGTGAGAAGCCGCACGGCTGGGTTTCCGGGAGTGTAACAAGTTCTTGCTGCCTTTGTGGGAAGGCTGGTGCGAAAGTGGGTGGGGAGGCGGGTGAGAAGGTGGGTGGGACAGTCGGTGGGGGGCGGTGGCAGGCGGAGGGGGAGGAGTGGAGCAGCGACGACGTGAGGCAGCACGAGGAGGTGTGGCAGGTAGTGGCGAGTGGGAAGGAGCTCGCACGCTGGGGGATGGTGCATTGGCCGCGTTGGTAGCGTTGGTAGCGTTGGCAGCAGTGGCAGCACCAGCAGCAGTGGAGCGTTGGGGAAGCGAGGAGGCACGGGGAGGTGTGGCAGGTAGTGGCGAGTCGGGAGTAGCATTGGTCGCGTTGGCAGCAGTGTCAGCATTGGCAGACCGTGTGACATTATCAGGCGAAGCCACACCAATGGGACTCCCAAATGCAGCAGCAGTTGTTGCTGCTGCAGGTCCAGTCCCTGCCCTCACTTCTCTCACTGCCCTTAGTTCTCTCACTGCCCTCACTACACCCACTGCTCCCACTTCCCCCCTCACTGCTTCCTCTGCTCCCACTGCTCTCCCTGCAGTGACTGACGCCCCTGCAGCCCCACACGGAGCATCATTTGAAGGAAATGCATCTCTTGCATCCACGCGCCTACATGCTTCCTCCTCACCAGCTGCAACCCCCCCATCTGCGCCCTCGGCTTCCCCCACCATCACTGCTCCCACTACTCCCACTGCAGTCCCTGCATATCCTGCACTCCCACGTGGGGAACTATTCAAAGGAGACTCATCCCATGCACCAACGAGTCTACATGCTTCTTCCTCCCCACCTGCAAACCCCACATCCGCACCCTCCGCCTCTCCCACCCTCACCCCTGCCCGCTTCCGCTTCCTCCCTCCCCGTACAGCCCCACCACACGGCCTAAGCCTTCCCTCCTGAGACCCCTCAGCAGAAGCCCCACCACACGGCCTAAGCCTTCCCTCCTGAGACCCCTCAGCAGAAGCCCCACCACACGGCCTACGCCTTCCCTCCTGAGACCCCTCAGCAGAAGCCCCACCACACGGCCTACGCCTTCCCTCCTGAGACCCCTCAGCAGAAGCCCCACCACACGGCCTACGCCTTCCCTCCTGAGACCCCTCAGCAGAAGCCCCACCACACGGCCTAAGCCTTCCCTCCTGAGACCCCTCAGCAGAAGCCCCACCACACGGCCTACGCCTTTCCTCCTGAGACCCCTCAGCAGAAGCCCCACCACACGGCCTACGCCTTCCCTCCTGAGACCCCTCAGCAGAAGCCCCACCACACGGCCTACGCCTTCCCTCCTGAGACCCCTCAGCAGAAGCCCCACCACACGGCCTACGCCTTCCCTCCTGAGACCCCTCAGCAGAAGCCCCACCACACGGCCTACGCCTTCCCTCCTGAGACCCCTCAGCAGAAGCCCCACCACACGGCCTACGCCTTCCCTCCTGAGACCCCTCAGCAGAAGCCCCACCACACGGCCTACGCCTTCCCTCCTGAGACCCCTCAGCAGAAGCCCCACCACACGGCCTAAGCCTTCCCTCCTGAGACCCCTCAGCAGAAGCCCCACCACACGGCCTAAGCCTTCCCTCCTGAGACCCCTCAGCAGAAGCCCCACCACACGGCCTACGCCTTCCCTCCTGAGACCCCTCAGCAGAAGCCCCACCACACGGCCTAAGCCTTCCCTCCTGAGACCCCTCAGCAGAAGCCCCACCACACGGCCTAAGCCTTCCCTCCTGAGACCCCTCAGCAGAAGCCCCACCACACGGCCTACGCCTTCCCTCCTGAGACCCCTCAGCAGAAGCCCCACCACACGGCCTAAGCCTTCCCTCCTGAGACCCCTCAGCAGAAGCCCCACCACACGGCCTAAGCCTTCCCTCCTGAGACCCCTCAGCAGAAGCCCCACCACACGGCCTAAGCCTTCCCTCCTGAGACCCCTCAGCAGAAGCCCCACCACACGGCCTAAGCCTTCCCTCCTGAGACCCCTCAGCAGAAGCCCCACCACACGACCTAAGCCTTCCCTCCTGAGACCCCTCAGCAGAAGCCCCACCACACGGCCTAAGCCTTCCCTCCTGAGACCCCTCAGCAGAAGCCCCACCACACGGCCTAAGCCTTCCCTCCTGAGACCCCTCAGCAGAAGCCCCACCACACGGCCTACGCCTTCCCTCCTGAGACCCCTCAGCAGAAGCCCCACCACACGGCCTAAGCCTTCCCTCCTGAGACCCCTCAGCAGAAGCCCCACCACACGGCCTAAGCCTTCCCTCCTGAGACCCCTCAGCAGAAGCCCCACCACACGGCCTACGCCTTCCCTCCTGAGACCCCTCAGCAGAAGCCCCACCACACGGCCTAAGCCTTCCCTCCTGAGACCCCTCAGCAGAAGCCCCACCACACGGCCTAAGCCTTCCCTCCTGAGACCCCTCAGCAGAAGCCCCACCACACGGCCTACGCCTTCCCTCCTGAGACCCCTCAGCAGAAGCCCCACCACACGGCCTAAGCCTTCCCTCCTGAGACCCCTCAGCAGAAGCCCCACCACACGGCCTAAGCCTTCCCTCCTGAGACCCCTCAGCAGAAGCCCCACCACACGGCCTACGCCTTCCCTCCTGAGACCCCTCAGCAGAAGCCCCACCACACGGCCTAAGCCTTCCCTCCTGAGACCCCTCAGCAGAAGCCCCACCACACGGCCTAAGCCTTCCCTCCTGAGACCCCTCAGCAGAAGCCCCACCACACGGCCTAAGCCTTCCCTCCTGAGACCCCTCAGCAGAAGCCCCACCACACGGCCTACGCCTTCCCTCCTGAGACCCCTCAGCAGAAGCCCCACCACACGGCCTAAGCCTTCCCTCCTGAGACCCCTCAGCAGAAGCCCCACCACACGGCCTAAGCCTTCCCTCTTGAGACCCCTCAGCAGAAGCCCCACCACACGGCCTAAGCCTTCCCTCCTGAGACCCCTCAGCAGAAGCCCCACCACACGGCCTACGCCTTCCCTCCTGAGACCCCTCAGCAGAAGCCCCACCACACGGCCTAAGCCTTCCCTCCTGAGACCCCTCAGCAGAAGCCCCACCACACGGCCTAAGCCTTCCCTCCTGAGACCCCTCAGCAGAAGCCCCACCACACGGCCTAAGCCTTCCCTCCTGAGACCCCTCAGCAGAAGCCCCACCACACGGCCTACGCTTTCCCTCCTGAGACCCCTCAGCAGAAGCCCCACCACACGGCCTAAGCCTTCCCTCCTGAGACCCCTCAGCAGAAGCCCCACCACACGGCCTAAGCCTTCCCTCCTGAGACCCCTCAGCAGAAGCCCCACCACACGGCCTACGCCTTCCCTCCTGAGACCCCTCAGCAGAAGCCCCACCACACGGCCTACGCCTTCCCTCCTGAGACCCCTCAGCAGAAGCCCCACCACACGGCCTAAGCCTTCCCTCCTGAGACCCCTCAGCAGAAGCCCCACCACACGGCCTACGCCTTCCCTCCTGAGACCCCTCAGCAGAAGCCCCACCACACGGCCTAAGCCTTCCCTCCTGAGACCCCTCAGCAGAAGCCCCACCACACGGCCTAAGCCTTCCCTCCTGAGACCCCTCAGCAGAAGCCCCACCACACGGCCTAAGCCTTCCCTCCTGAGACCCCTCAGCAGAAGCCCCACCACACGGCCTAAGCCTTCCCTCCTGAGACCCCTCAGCAGAAGCCCCACCACACGGCCTAAGCCTTCCCTCCTGAGACCCCTCAGCAGAAGCCCCACCACACGGCCTAAGCCTTCCCTCCTGAGACCCCTCAGCAGAAGCCCCACCACACGGCCTAAGCCTTCCCTCCTGAGACCCCTCAGCAGAAGCCCCACCACACGGCCTAAGCCTTCCCTCCTGAGACCCCTCAGCAGAAGCCCCACCACACGGCCTACGCCTTCCCTCCTGAGACCCCTCAGCAGAAGCCCCACCACACGGCCTAAGCCTTCCCTCCTGAGACCCCTCAGCAGAAGCCCCACCACACGGCCTAAGCCTTCCCTCCTGAGACCCCTCAGCAGAAGCCCCACCACACGGCCTAAGCCTTCCCTCCTGAGACCCCTCAGCAGAAGCCCCACCACACGGCCTAAGCCTTCCCTCCTGAGACCCCTCAGCAGAAGCCCCACCACACGGCCTAAGCCTTCCCTCCTGAGACCCCTCAGCAGAAGCCCCACCACACGGCCTAAGCCTTCCCTCCTGAGACCCCTCAGCAGAAGCCCCACCACACGGCCTAAGCCTTCCCTCCTGAGACCCCTCAGCAGAAGCCCCACCACACGGCCTACGCCTTCCCTCCTGAGACCCCTCAGCAGAAGCCCCACCACACGGCCTAAGCCTTCCCTCCTGAGACCCCTCAGCAGAAGCCCCACCACACGGCCTAAGCCTTCCCTCCTGAGACCCCTCAGCAGAAGCCCCACCACACGGCCTAAGCCTTCCCTCCTGAGACCCCTCAGCAGAAGCCCCACCACACGGCCTAAGCCTTCCCTCCTGAGACCCCTCAGCAGAAGCCCCACCACACGGCCTAAGCCTTCCCTCCTGAGACCCCTCAGCAGAAGCCCCACCACACGGCCTACGCCTTCCCTCCTGAGACCCCTCAGCAGAAGCCCCACCACACGGCCTACGCCTTCCCTCCTGAGACCCCTCAGCAGAAGCCCCACCACACGGCCTACGCCTTCCCTCCTGAGACCCCTCAGCAGAAGCCCCACCACACGGCCTACGCCTTCCCTCCTGAGACCCCTCAGCAGAAGCCCCACCACACGGCCTACGCCTTCCCTCCTGAGACCCCTCAGCAGAAGCCCCACCACACGGCCTAAGCCTTCCCTCCTGAGACCCCTCAGCAGAAGCCCCACCACACGGCCTAAGCCTTCCCTCCTGAGACCCCTCAGCAGAAGCCCCACCACACGGCCTAAGCCTTCCCTCCTGAGACCCCTCAGCAGAAGCCCCACCACACGGCCTAAGCCTTCCCTCCTGAGACCCCTCAGCAGAAGCCCCACCACACGGCCTACGCCTTCCCTCCTGAGACCCCTCAGCAGAAGCCCCACCACACGGCCTAAGCCTTCCCTCCTGAGACCCCTCAGCAGAAGCCCCACCACACGGCCTAAGCCTTCCCTCCTGAGACCCCTCAGCAGAAGCCCCACCACACGGCCTAAGCCTTCCCTCCTGAGACCCCTCAGCAGAAGCCCCACCACACGGCCTAAGCCTTCCCTCCTGAGACCCCTCAGCAGAAGCCCCACCACACGGCCTACGCCTTCCCTCCTGAGACCCCTCAGCAGAAGCCCCACCACACGGCCTAAGCCTTCCCTCCTGAGACCCCTCAGCAGAAGCCCCACCACACGGCCTAAGCCTTCCCTCCTGAGACCCCTCAGCAGAAGCCCCACCACACGGCCTAAGCCTTCCCTCCTGAGACCCCTCAGCAGAAGCCCCACCACACGGCCTAAGCCTTCCCTCCTGAGACCCCTCAGCAGAAGCCCCACCACACGGCCTAAGCCTTCCCTCCTGAGACCCCTCAGCAGAAGCCCCACCACACGGCCTAAGCCTTCCCTCCTGAGACCCCTCAGCAGAAGCCCCACCACACGGCCTAAGCCTTCCCTCCTGAGACCCCTCAGCAGAAGCCCCACCACACGGCCTAAGCCTTCCCTCCTGAGACCCCTCAGCAGAAGCCCCACCACACGGCCTAAGCCTTCCCTCCTGAGACCCCTCAGCAGAAGCCCCACCACACGGCCTAAGCCTTCCCTCCTGAGACCCCTCAGCAGAAGCCCCACCACACGGCCTAAGCCTTCTCTCCTGAGACCCCTCAGCAGAAGCCCCACCACACGGCCTACGCCTTCCCTCCTGAGACCCCTCAGCAGAAGCCCCACCACACGGCCTAAGCCTTCCCTCCTGAGACCCCTCAGCAGAAGCCCCACCACACGGCCTACGCCTTCCCTCCTGAGACCCCTCAGCAGAAGCCCCACCACACGGCCTAAGCCTTCCCTCCTGAGACCCCTCAGCAGAAGCCCCACCACACGGCCTACGCCTTCCCTCCTGAGACCCCTCAGCAGAAGCCCCACCACACGGCCTACGCCTTCCCTCCTGAGACCCCTCAGCAGAAGCCCCACCACACGGCCTAAGCCTTCCCTCCTGAGACCCCTCAGCAGAAGCCCCACCACACGGCCTAAGCCTTCCCTCCTGAGACCCCTCAGCAGAAGCCCCACCACACGGCCTACGCCTTCCCTCCTGAGACCCCTCAGCAGAAGCCCCACCACACGGCCTAAGCCTTCCCTCCTGAGACCCCTCAGCAGAAGCCCCACCACACGGCCTACGCCTTCCCTCCTGAGACCCCTCAGCAGAAGCCCCACCACACGGCCTACGCCTTCCCTCCTGAGACCCCTCAGCAGAAGCCCCACCACACGGCCTAAGCCTTCCCTCCTGAGACCCCTCAGCAGAAGCCCCACCACACGGCCTAAGCCTTCCCTCCTGAGACCCCTCAGCAGAAGCCCCACCACACGGCCTAAGCCTTCCCTCCTGAGACCCCTCAGCAGAAGCCCCACCACACGGCCTAAGCCTTCCCTCCTGAGACCCCTCAGCAGAAGCCCCACCACACGGCCTACGCCTTCCCTCCTGAGACCCCTCAGCAGAAGCCCCACCACACGGCCTAAGCCTTCCCTCCTGAGACCCCTCAGCAGAAGCCCCACCACACGGCCTAAGCCTTCCCTCCTGAGACCCCTCAGCAGAAGCCCCACCACACGGCCTAAGCCTTCCCTCCTGAGACCCCTCAGCAGAAGCCCCACCACACGGCCTAAGCCTTCCCTCCTGAGACCCCTCAGCAGAAGCCCCACCACACGGCCTAAGCCTTCCCTCCTGAGACCCCTCAGCAGAAGCCCCACCACACGGCCTAAGCCTTCCCTCCTGAGACCCCTCAGCAGAAGCCCCACCACACGGCCTAAGCCTTCCCTCCTGAGACCCCTCAGCAGAAGCCCCACCACACGGCCTAAGCCTTCCCTCCTGAGACCCCTCAGCAGAAGCCCCACCACACGGCCTAAGCCTTCCCTCCTGAGACCCCTCAGCAGAAGCCCCACCACACGGCCTACGCCTTCCCTCCTGAGACCCCTCAGCAGAAGCCCCACCACACGGCCTAAGCCTTCCCTCCTGAGACCCCTCAGCAGAAGCCCCACCACACGGCCTAAGCCTTCCCTCCTGAGACCCCTCAGCAGAAGCCCCACCACACGGCCTAAGCCTTCCCTCCTGAGACCCCTCAGCAGAAGCCCCACCACACGGCCTAAGCCTTCCCTCCTGAGACCCCTCAGCAGAAGCCCCACCACACGGCCTAAGCCTTCCCTCCTGAGACCCCTCAGCAGAAGCCCCACCACACGGCCTAAGCCTTCCCTCCTGAGACCCCTCAGCAGAAGCCCCACCACACGGCCTAAGCCTTCCCTCCTGAGACCCCTCAGCAGAAGCCCCACCACACGGCCTAAGCCTTCCCTCCTGAGACCCCTCAGCAGAAGCCCCACCACACGGCCTAAGCCTTCCCTCCTGAGACCCCTCAGCAGAAGCCCCACCACACGGCCTAAGCCTTCCCTCCTGAGACCCCTCAGCAGAAGCCCCACCACACGGCCTACGCCTTCCCTCCTGAGACCCCTCAGCAGAAGCCCCACCACACGGCCTAAGCCTTCCCTCCTGAGACCCCTCAGCAGAAGCCCCACCACACGGCCTAAGCCTTCCCTCCTGAGACCCCTCAGCAGAAGCCCCACCACACGGCCTAAGCCTTCCCTCCTGAGACCCCTCAGCAGAAGCCCACCACACGGCCTAAGCCTTCCCTCCTGAGACCCCTCAGCAGAAGCCCCACCACACGGCCTAAGCCTTCCCTCCTGAGACCCCTCAGCAGAAGCCCCACCACACGGCCTAAGCCTTCCCTCCTGAGACCCCTCAGCAGAAGCCCCACCACACGGCCTAAGCCTTCCCTCCTGAGACCCCTCAGCAGAAGCCCCACCACACGGCCTAAGCCTTCCCTCCTGAGACCCCTCAGCAGAAGCCCCACCACACGGCCTAAGCCTTCCCTCCTGAGACCCCTCAGCAGAAGCCCCACCACACGGCCTAAGCCTTCCCTCCTGAGACCCCTCAGCAGAAGCCCCACCACACGGCCTAAGCCTTCCCTCCTGAGACCCCTCAGCAGAAGCCCCACCACACGGCCTAAGCCTTCCCTCCTGAGACCCCTCAGCAGAAGCCCCACCACACGGCCTAAGCCTTCCCTCCTGAGACCCCTCAGCAGAAGCCCCACCACACGGCCTAAGCCTTCCCTCCTGAGACCCCTCAGCAGAAGCCCCACCACACGGCCTAAGCCTTCCCTCCTGAGACCCCTCAGCAGAAGCCCCACCACACGGCCTAAGCCTTCCCTCCTGAGACCCCTCAGCAGAAGCCCCACCACACGGCCTAAGCCTTCCCTCCTGAGACCCCTCAGCAGAAGCCCCACCACACGGCCTAAGCCTTCCCTCCTGAGACCCCTCAGCAGAAGCCCCACCACACGGCCTAAGCCTTCCCTCCTGAGACCCCTCAGCAGAAGCCCCACCACACGGCCTACCATGCTCTACCTCCACCCCATGCCCCACCATGGGCCCCCCATGTTCCATCAGAGGCACCTCCACCCCATGCCCCATTAGAGGCACCTCCACCCCATGCCCCATTAGAGGCACCTCCACCACATCCGGACTCGCACTACCAGACGGATCAGCCTCTTCCTCCCTGCGCCCTTCGTCCCTCACCCCTCCTCTGCGCCCCTTCTGTAAACGCGTTTTCATAAACTCAGCAGTCACCCCATTCGGCCGGCCAACCTCTTCCTTCCTCTGCCCTCCGTCCCTCACCCCCCCCTCTCTGCCCCTTCCTCAAACGCGTCTTCATAAACTCAGGAGTCACCCCACTTGCCTGGCCAGCCCCTTCCTTCCTCTGCCCTCCGTCCCTCACCCCTCCGACCCTCACCCCTCTCTGCCCCTTCCTCAAACGCGTCTTCATAAACTCAGGAGTCACCCCACTTGGCTGCCCAACCCCTTCCTTCCTCTGCCCGCCGCCCCTCACCCCTCCTCTCAGCCCCTTCTGTAAACGCGTCTTCATAAATTCAGGAGTCACAGTCATGCCGCATGTCTGGTCCCCTCTCTCCTCCCTCTCACACCCCGCCTCATTCCCCCACGCCTCTTCCACTGCACCGCATTCCTCTTCCACACCACACGCTCCCTCCGCACCACTCTCCACCTCACATCCCCACATCTCCTCCACCCCACACTCTTCCTCATCCCCGCAATCGTCCTCACTCCCACACTCCGCCCCACAATCCCCCAACTCTTCACTGTCGCTCCCTCCCGCATTCCCCTCACCCTTCTCCTCACATGCAATTCTTCTGCCCTTTATTTTTTTCATAGCTTCCACGTCACCACCGTTCCCTCCCACAACCCCCTTGACCTTTGCCTCACCTGTCACTCTCCTCCCTGGCCTCCCCTTCCCCGCCCTCGCCCCCCTCCCTTCTGCCGTAGCCCCTCCCCCCACCTCTCCTTCCTTCGACTTCGCTTTCCTCCCTTTCGCAGGTCGTCCTCTCGCCCCTGCTTTCGCCCCTCCTTTCGCGCCTCCTTTCGCCCCTGTATTCGCACCGACCTTAGCCCCTCGTTCTAAGCTCTGCCGTTTCACCCACAAGACATCTCGAGCCTTGGCCTTGCTCCTCCTCTCAGCCCTCTCCGCCCTCTCTCCCCTCTTCGCACTCTCCCTCCTCTCCTTCCTCAATTTCGCTGCTGCTCCAGCTGTCCCCGCAGCCCTCCCTTTATCCAACGCATCCGCTATAACCTTTAACGGAGCCCTTCCAGACGAACCAGCAGCACTACCCCCCCCGGCCTTACCTCCTCCTGCTGCTCGTGTTACGGCTGCTGCTCCTGATGCTGCACCTGATGCTGCTCCTGACGCTGCTCCTAAAGCTGCTCCTGCATCTCGTACTATCGCTGCATCTGACGCTGCTGCTGCAACCACTACTTGCCCTCTCTCTCCCTTACCCTTGCGTCCCCTCTTACCTGCTGCTACAGCAGGCCCTAACACTACCCCCTTGCTTCCATTCTCTTCCCACCTCCCTTCCCCACTCCCTTCCCCACTCCCTTTCCCACTACCTTTCCCCTTTCCCCTCCCAATCCCTGTCTCTTTCCCGGTCCCTTGTCCTTTCGCTGTCCCTGTTCCTGTCCCTTCCCCGGCCCCTTCACCCGTTCCCCTCCCATTCCCTTTTCCAACCCCGTTCCCTTTCCCTACCCCTCTCCCTCTCCCTCTCCCTTTCCCTTTCCTCGGCGTTGCAGCTTCTTTCAAGGCAGCAGCAGCGGCCACAGCAGCAGGTCTTCGCCTCCCTTTAGGCGGGCTCCATTTAACCAGCGCCCGGCGGAAGCTCAGTTGCCTCACCACTGCCAACCGCGCTTGACCCCTCGTTCGCACTTCTTTCCTCGTTGACCGTCCGCCCGTGTGTTGCTTCTCGTCCTTCTCCCCCTGGAACGTACCACCTGCCTGCGGTTCTGCTACCCCCGACCGCCCCTGCTCGTTGCCCGGGGTTCCACACCCACCTTCCATGCCCGTCCTAGCTGAATCTCCCGCGCCCTTCCCGGTTCTCCTTCTCCCCTGCCCCACCCTACCCCTCCCCACCGACTTGCGGCCCGCTCGCCGCCTCCCCTTCCCCCCTTCCCCTTCCCCTTCCCCTCGTGCGCGACCCTCTTCCGCATCCGCTGCGCTATCCCTTCCGCCTACCGCTGCTCTAATTTCCGAACCATCCTCCGCGCTATCGCCCCCCCGGTCCCCATCCCGCGCGCCTACCAGCGCTGATTCACCAAACCACCCGTCGGGAGTCCGGGGCCCCTCCGCCCCGCGCAAACCCTCCGCGCTTTCCCCCGCGCCTTCCCCTCCGCTGCGAGCCCCGCGCGGGGCGGAAACGCCCCTTCCGCCCGCTTCCACGGGATGCCAGCCAACGAACGCGCCTACTGCAGCTACGCCCGCGTGCATGCTTTCCTCTACCTCCTCCTCCGTTATATCCATGCTCACCGCATCGTCCTCCATTTCTACGCGCAATTCATCCCCTTCAATCTCCACATCAACCTCCTCCTCCTCTTCCTCCTCTTCCTCCTCCTTCTCTGCCTCCTCCTTCCCTCCCTCCTGTGCGCTCAACTCGTTCTCTCCAATCTCCACAACCACCACCTCCTCAGCCGCATCGCCTGCATCTGCTGCAATTTCCGCGTCCTCCATGAATTTCCCACACAAATTTTCCTCTTCTTCCATCTCTACCTCTACCCGCTCGTTTCTAGCCTCTTCGTTACGAGCATCAACAACGGAAACTCCCGCACGAACGCGCTGCTGTACCTCGTCGTCTACCCCGTTCGTATCATCCGCGTCTCCTTCCCCCGCTATAATACGTTCAGCGTAACCCGTTACGAAGCCGTCGGACTGCGCTGAAAAATAACTATCCTCTAATAAATCGCTAGCAGCTACGCCGCGCGTTTCAGACGGCGAGCGACGCGGTTCAGGATTGGTACGAACATTTTCGGATTCCGTGCCGTGCGTTTGCGGTTCTAAGCCGTCAATTTCAGCCGCATCTCTAGATGATGCGCCTGTCGGAGGCGCGCCTGCCGATACCACAGGTGCTCGGATCCTATCTGAAGAATCTCCTACTTTTTTGCTCCTACTAGTAGGCTGGTTAGTCTCTATTCTGGTCTCGGCAGAGTTCCCACGCGCAACGAGGTTACCCATTTTGCTAACACCGGCCGTGCGATCATCTTCACCAGTAGAAGATATACAGATCCTGCGTGGGCCTGTGCAAGGTAACATCCTATCGAGATTCGAACCGGCGACAATTTTACCTGAGGAGTACACACGCGTTTCCTTTCTGGCTGCCGACTTTCCGAGAAGGCTATCCTCATCGCTTCGACTTCTCCGTTCGCCAGGTGGTGTCATCTCTGCGAATCGTTTTCTCGAGGCAAGATTTTCAGCTCCCTCGCTTTCTCGAGCGCTTCAGGCAGGCTCCTGTTTCAGCGACAGTCCAACAGGCCAAAAGTATTGGCTAACTTTGCAACTGAAAAAACGGAATTTTCGTAACCTTGTTACTGCCGCTAAGGTGCGTTGGCGATTTCATCGAACTTCTGCGAGTGTCTAGCGATCAGGCTGGCGACGGTAGCCTGTGTGCGGTGCGACAATATCGAGAATACGACGACAGATCACTAAGTGACACGTTGCAACTGGAGGAATACCCTGAAAAGGTTATGTACCACTATGCCTGAAAAGGATGGTAACAACCTACGGCAACGAAGCTATGCTGGAAACTAGAAACGCAAGCGGTGAGAAACAGGTCAAATAAGGACGGAGAGGAGAGGTTGCTGCGTTTGCTGTTGCACGTTCGTGTTCGCTGGCTTTGAGCGGAGAGACCAACGCAACGATGACAGAGGATTGATTGAACGAGACTCCTGTGATTGGAGGAACAGTCCCAAGGTTCTGAATTTGGCGGGAAGTCTGACATTTCTGAAATCGTGGGGCCCGTCCCGCCAATTTGTCCATCAGCCGGTTGCGGTTCAGTGTGTTTCTACACGGTAACAAAAAGATATATGCTTTACCGCTATGGACCGCAACGAACCAAAACAAAACCGAGAGAATCGAGAACCAGGGAGGAGGACATCCCCCAGATGTCTGTACTCGCTATTTTACAGGACCCGTTCACGCACTGTATCATGAAGAAATGCCTATGTGCTGGGGAAATTCAATCTCTAATGGTGCAACCACCAATGTTCAATTTCCTTCAAAATTAAAGCCGTTGACCCAAATTGCACAAGTTTTAAAAAGTTGACGTGAGGGAGTTTTGGTATCGCAATGGCTGTCGTCACGGTGATTGGAATTATTCGTATTGTGTGATGTTATGAATGAAGTCTCATTATGGTGTGGTCTGACAATTTTGTTATACCGCGTACGAATTCGAAACGACACTTCCACTGATAATGGTGCCTAACGTGAACTTTTCGCACGGTAACAACCAGAAGCGAAATCACAAATTCCACCTGATGCGGCGGCATCTTGTTTTAGCAACGAAACACTCGGTAGTCCCAGTGGCAGGAATGGGGAGCAGCAGAAGTATCCGTTGACTTCGGGAAGATTCTGATCCGATGAATTCCTGTTCGATCTGCGCTTCCTGTAATCTGCCTGCTTCCGTTTCCTCTCGATTCTGCTTCTGCAAGGAGATATGACTGCATGCAAGAAGTTAGAAGGAGCTATCTTTCTGCACTACAACAAATTCACGCCTCTATCGAGTTGTCGTTCTTGGCGTACTAGGAACCATTAGTAACCTGCGACGCGCTCATGCAGTTTCTTCCTTTTTCGCTATATCCTTCTCCTTTTCGCCATGGCAAGTCGTACCTCGCCACGGCTATCCTGCGCGTGGATTTACAGACTAAGATACACATTTAGATACATCACGCATTCTTCTACGCCTCGTTCTGAGCCTTTCTTAGCGAAGCCTGGAATCAAATCAACACCTTCTATACCTTCTATACCTTCCTCCCGAAGCCTCTACCAGTTCGGGTTTAACCCACACCAACCTGCGCAAAGAGCAATCGTCAGGATTCGAACCCCTGATCGGTGCCTCTCTATAGGATGTCCAGTTAGATTTTTGTCCAGATCAGCCGAGGCTCCCGAGACAGAGCGTGTGAACGTGGGACCCGACCCGAGGTTCGATGGCGAACCGGTACTGGCGGTTGGGACGGAGGCTCGGTTGCATACCGGGGGAAGAGAGGAGGGGGAAAGAGAGGGGGGAGAGCTAGGAGAGAGCGAGAGTAGGGGGAAAAAGGAGAAGGTGGTTGGCGGAGGAGGGCGTATGAGGCGTGCGGGACGAGCGGGGAAAGCGGAGGTAAATGATGAAGGAGGGGGGAAAAGGAGTGGAGGGAGGGGAGGAGGAGGGAGGGTAGGAGGAGGGAGGGGAGGAGGAGGGAGGGGAGGATGCGCCGCCGGCGAGGAGGAGGAGGCAGTGACATTGATTGCTGGAGTGCTGAGAGAGAAATTCGGGCCTCAGATCGTAAGGGAGGAGGAGGAGGTGGGGTTTACGGACGGAAGAATTGCTTATGAGGAGGAGGCGAAGGGAGCAGAAGAAGAAGAGGAAGGGGATGTGGAGCGATTGGAATTAGAAATTGGGGAAGAAGGGGACGAGGGTGAGGGGGAGGAAGCAGAAGTGAAGGAGGAGGAATTTCCAGGAACCACCTCTCGTCGAAAAAAACGCACGTGCAACCTCTCTCTCCTCCCTCCTCTCCCTCTACCGCTTCTTCTCCTCCCACCTCGGCATCTCCTCCCCTTCCACTGTCGCTTCCCTCCTCACCAATCGCCCAGCGCTCCTTTGGTCTGATCCCACCAATGACTTGCTGCCACGTGTCCAGCTTCTCCAGTCGTATGGCGTATCCCGCGCCGACATCTCAGTCATCACCATGAGAAATCCATGCTGGTTCCGATCCCCGCTTCCACAGATTCAGGATAAGCTTGACTTTCTCTTGGCTCGGGGCGTCCGCCGTACCAAGCTAGTTTCGGTGCTCTGTAATGCTTCATTCCTCACCAGAATGCAGGCTCGTTCAACGAACCTGGACATTTTGGTGGAAAGAGCAGGGGTTCCTGTGGACAAGCTAAGCATGCTGATCGAGAAAGCCCCAAGAATCCTTTGCAGCAAGGAAGAACCCATACGAACTCGCATTGAGCAACTATCAGCGTACCTGACTGATGGATACGAAGAAAAAAACGTCCGCACCGGGCACCTGAAGCAACACCTGACAAGGCAACATAAGGACAAGAATCGCCTGAGTAAACTCCTTTTGAAGAATCCGCAGCTCCTTTCCTCCCCTAAGATCATCGCCACAAAACTCAGCCTCCTCCAGTCTCTAACCCCCCCTGGCACCCCATCCATAGCAAGCTCGATTCTCCGCCTTGCCCCCACCGTCGTCAACCTCAGCTCGCAGAATCTCTTAGCTAAGTTTCAGTTCTTAGTGGATCTAGTGGGGAAGAAGGCAGCAGGGAGTGCGGTGCGAAGCCATCCAATGATTCTTGATCGATCTTTAGAGAACCTGCAAGGCAAGGTGGCATTGCTGAGCAACCTGATTGGGCAAGAGAACGCGGTGCGTGCAGTGGCGCGGTTTCCTTTGCTGCTGTGTTCAAGCGAAACAAATCTCAAGAGGAGTTTTGGAGAACTTGTGCGAGAAGTGGAAGGGGCATTGGAGAGTGGTGAAGAGACGTTGGAGAGTGGTGAAGAGACGTTGGAGAGTGGTGAAGAGACGTTGGAGAGTGGTGAAGGGGTCTTGGAAATCGGTGAAGAAGATGAAAACAACGCAAGAGAAAATCTTCCCTTTGAGTCGCCTCAAAAGAATGCAAGCGATAGTCCGAAGCAAGGCGGGAGCGGCGCTGGCTTCGGAGCCGGATCCAAGAGCTGGGCGGAAGCAAGGGCAGGAGAAGGAGGCGGTTCTGATGGCAGCGCTGGCACCACAGCCCGTGATCCAATGGCTGAGAGCAGGGCTGGCGCCACAGCTTATGATCTAATGGCTGAGAACAGAACTTGCGCCACAGCCCGTGATCTAGTGGCGCGTCTGGTGCTGAAGCACCCAGCGTCGATCTACTACAGTTGGGAGATGAATACGAGGCACAAGGTGGAGTACTTAGAACATGACATGGGGCTGTCTATAATGGAGGTGCTTGCGTTCCCTAATTTTCTGAATTACAGTTTGGATGCCCGAATCAGGCCGCGACATGTGGCACTGCTGAGCATGGGCTATGAGTTGGTGCCATATAGAGTGATGGCCCTTGAATGGAGAGGTGGACGTAGGAGGGAGAATGTGAAGGACACTGGCGCAGTGTTGGGAAATGGGTTGAAAGAGGTGGAAAAGGGTAACGGGGTGGAAGGATGTGAATGGGTGGAACGAGGAAAAGAGGTGGAATGCGGTAAAGAGGTTGGAGGTTCTAGTGGCCTGGAGTATATTCCAGGCAGCGACAGGTTCGGGACAAGAGCCACGGCGGAAGCGGCGTTGCAGCAGGCACGGAAGGTGTGTTTGGTTCAATTCATCCAGTGCTCGGACAAGCTATTTGAAAAGAGATTTGGGATAGCACCCATTGATTCTCCCATAAATGGGAGCTAATTCCTCAATTAGGTGGAAATCACAAGTACAGGGTTTAGTATCCCAGAAATCTACATTTACTGTAATGTGACGGATATGTAGTAGTTTGAACAGAGCAGAGTGTAGAGGAATGGTTCATTACATGATAAGGGCAAGAGAGGAGGTCCACGCATATGATCAAGTAGTGGCTCTCCATTCACTGTATAAGCACTTCATCTCATATACGGTAAATGGGCATATATCCACAGAATGAGTGCAGTATCTGTTCAAGTTCCCTTCTTCCCAGCTTGAGTTGAGCATTTTTATGTCCCTGAAACTACTTCACGCCAGATACTATGTCCCTCCATTTCAGCAGCACCCCAAGATCATCTTACACCTCTGCAGCTTGGCCTCAAAACTCGGTCGAGACGTCCCATCCCGGCATTATAACAGAACCAACCCAGCATCGTCGTTCACATCACATCGCATCATGTAGCACATCAGCCATAGAGCAAGACGTCGCAACGCTGGTTTGAGACATCCCACCCTGCCAACTCAGCATATTACGATGGTACTCGTCAGCAGCGCTGGGCTGAACGGTCATCCTGACTCCAGCAGCGAGTTTCCCTTCCATCTGCGCGGGTGTAGGGACAGGAGAAAGGTGGGGGAGTGAAAGGAGGAGGAGGATATCAAGGTGGATTCCTGCCCTGCCTGACAAAGACATGGGGTTCTGAGATCGCTCTAATAGATCCCCACGTAGGAGGCATGGCATAGCGTGGCAGCAGCTGTGCTTAGCAAACTGTTGTTTAGTAAACAAAGACATGGGGTTCTGAGATGCCTCTAATCTTGTGAGGGGAAAGAAGGAAAAAGGAAAAAAATAAAAAATAAAGGAAATAAAGAGGCTCCCAGCTCACTCACCTACGAAGGAGGAAGCTTCCCAGAGGGCTCAGGTTGTTAACGTCATCGTCCCCACCCTTGCCATGCCGCCTGTCTGCTCGCCCATCCGCTCCTCCCTCACCCCCCGGTCCCCCAAACTGCCTGCGCGCGTTGGCTTTCAGGTCACGCAAGGGGGGGACCTCCTCTGATGCACTGTGAGTGGAGTGGGAGAAAGACAAAATGCAAGAAATTAGTTACCCCATCCAAACTGCCTGCGAGCGTTGGCTTTCAGGTCACGGGAGGGGGGTACCTCCTCTGATGCTCTGCAAGAGGGGGGAGGGGGGAGGGGGAAGGTGAGGTGGTTGCAGTTGGAAACCTCTTGCTTCAACCCCAACTCCCTGCTTCGACCAAAACTGCCTGCCAGCGTTGGCCTTCACGCAGAATCTCAGCACACATAAATTAAAGGAATGAGAGAGGGTGGGCAAATGGAGGGATCACCTGCCGAGCTTGCCGAGCAGGCTTCCTTCCATCTCCACCCGTGCATCTGCTGCTGCCAGGCCTGTTGCCGTTCGTGCAAGTCCCCTACACTAAAGCACACTACAGCATAACCTTGTTGAGCTAAAAGCTTACCTGCCGAGTTTGCCAAGTAGGCTAGCAAGCAGCAGTTGGCAGGAGCCGGGAGCGCATCGTTCCATCTCCACCAGAGCGTCCGCTGCGTCTGCTGCTGCCCGCACTGCTGCCTGCTCCTGCTGATCCGCTGCCACCTGGTGTGACCAGGGGATTTGAATCAGAGAAGAAAGAAGGGGACATTATCCTTGCTTGCTGCTGCTGCTGTTTCTGTATTTTTTTAGCAGAGGGAGGGGGTGAAAGGGAGGAGGAGGGGGGGGGGGGGGGGGGGGGGGGTGGGAGGGTTCTTAAACAGACGGTAATAACCGGACCCATTGATTCAAAAGAACCAACTAATTGCGCCATACCTCTTTAAATGCAGGCATGAGCACAAGGGAGAGCAGAGGCGAGGACGACACAGCAGCATCCCTGCCAGCCACTCGCGCTCCTCCCTGCTCCTCCCCTCCCCCTCCCCCACCGCCCTTCCGCCCCCCTGCCTTGGGTTTTCTGGGACTCCAAAAGGGGAAGGATGGGGAAGAGAGAGGGAGAGGGAGAGGGAGAGGGAGAGGGAGAGGGAGAGGGAGAGGGAGAGGGAGAGGGAGAGGGAGAGGGAGAGGGAGAGGGAGAGGGAGAGGGAGAGGGAGAGGGAGAGGGGTGAGAAATATGGCATCCCATATCATCTCACAGACAACATTGCGCATCATCCCAAATAATCTCACAGCACGTACCTTGTTCGAACTGTGCCACTGTCCATGGCATCTCCCCCCCCTCCTCCCCCTCCCCCGCCTCCTCTGCTCGCCCGCCCTCCCCCGCCCTTCTTTCCCCCTTTCATGGCCTTGAGTGCCTCCGCCATGTTCGTTTCCGAGTCCTCCTTTCTTCCGCCCTCCTCAGACTGAGGAAAGGAATGCGGAAGGAGGAACACAAAAGAGGGACAACAGGGAGAGGGCACAGAAGGAAGGAACATATGAGTCAACGCAGCATGGCTCTTTCCCCCCTTCATGGCCTTCAGTGCCTCCGCCATGTTCGTTTCCGAGTCCTCCTTTCTTCCGCCCTCTGCAGAGTCAGACTGGGGAAGCCAAGGGAGAGTGCACAGAATGAACATCCGAGTTACATTAGCACAATACAATGCCTGATTTAGTGCCTCGGCGCCACTGCCATGTTGGTTGCTGAATCCTCCTTCCTCCGCCCTCCGCAAAATCAGAGAGAGGGGAGAGGAGAAAAGGAGACGGATACAAGAAAGAGGGACGACAGGAGAGGGGCACACAAGAAACATTTAATCAACTCAGCCCCCTGCAGAGTTGGACTGAGGAACCCGAGGAGAGTAGCACAGAAGCACACCGAGACGAGCGAGTAAGATGATGGGAGGCCATAACCCCTCTGACACCAACCAGCCTTGGCCCCACCCCTCCATGCCACCTCGTGTAGTGCGTCGTGTTTTGAGTAGCACACAAGCACACCGAGACGAGCGAGTAAGGAGGAGTACATAACCCCTCTGCCACCAACCAACCTTGGCCCCACCCCTCCATGCCACCTCGTGTAGTGAGTCGCGTTTTGAGTAGCACACAAGCACACCGAGACGAGCGAGTAAGGAGTACATAACCCCTCTGCCACCAACCAACCTTGGCCCCACCCCTCCATGCCACCTCGTGTAGTGAGTCGTGTTTTGAGTAGCACACAAGCACACCGAGGCGAGCGAGTAAGGAGGAGGCCATAACCCCTCTGACTGACACCAACCTTGGCCCCACCCATCAATGCCACCTCCCATCATACCGCTCGAGAGCCATCAAGCAGGGGTGGCTTGCTGCCTCTCCTGCGACACTTGGCGCACCCCGCATGCCATCCGTGTTACCATTGCCATCACATCCAATCACCCATGCCATCAAGCCCTAGCTCCATGCCATCCGTGCCACGATCAGTCATACGGATCAAGAGCCATCAGACAGGGGCGGCTTGCTGCCTCTCCTGCGACCCTAGGCACGCCCCTCATGCCACCCATGTCACCTCTGCCATGAAGCCCCAGCTCCATGCCATCCATGCCACCATCAGTCATACCGCTCGAGAGCCATCAGATCAGGCAGGGACATCCCACCACACCACCCCACCATGCCATTCATGCCACCACCAGTCATACCGCTCGAGAGCCATCAGGCAGGGGGGGCTTGCTGCCTCTCCTGCGCCCCTCATCCCACCCGTGTTATCATTGCCATCACATCCCATCACCCATGCCATCAAGCCCTAGCTCCATGCCATTCGTGCCACCATCAGTCATACCGCTCGAGAGCCATCAGGCAGGGGGGGCTTGCTGCCTCTCCTGCGCCCCTAGGCACGCCCCTCATGCCACCCATGTCACCTCTGCCATCAAGCCCCAGCTCCATCCCATCCATCCCATCCATGCCACCACCAGTCATACCGCTCGAGAGGCATCAGATCAGGCAGGAACATCCCACCACACCACCCCACCATGCCATTCATGCCACCACCAGTCATACCGCTCGAGAGCCATCAGGCAGGGGCCGCTTGCTGCCTCTCCTGCGCCCCTCATCCCACCCGTGTTATCATTGCCATCACATCCCATCCATGCCACCACCCATCATACCGCTCGAGAGCCATCAGACACGGGCGGCTTGCTGCCTCTCCTGCGCCCCTTGCCGCCCTCCTGTGAGGCAAAGGAAAAGGGTTGGCAAAGCGGGAGGAAAGAAAGAGAGCGCACTGAAATCAACTTTGAGAATTATCATAAAGGTGGTAAGGGCGAGGGAAGGAAGTCAAAACGTGCCCCATCCTCTTCTGTGAAACACGGCATTCTGAGAACATAGGAAGGCAGTAAGACTGCAACATATTGAGACGGCTCGAAACGGGAAGGCAATGGGATTGCAAGAAACAAAACACTTAAAAGTCACTCAAAATCCAAATCGCCCCACCTTACAAAAGTGTAAGAACCCAACTCACCCCATCTTCTTCGGTGCCTGAGCCCTCACTCTCACTCCCCCACCCGCTCCCATACAACCCCCCTTTCTCCCCATTCGCCACTCCCTCCTCCCCTCCGCCTCCCCCTCCTCCTCCTCCCCCGCCTCCTCCCCCTGCGCCTCCCCCCGACGACCCCCCTTTCCCCTTGCTGGCCTTAACCGTGCCTGTATTCGCGCCCTTCTTTACAGTCCCACTCCCAGAATCACGCGGCTTGCGCCGCACAGTGCCACTCCGCTTCCCCCCATCATACCCATCCCCTCCCCCGCTCCCTCCGCCTCCCCCTCCCCCGCTCCCTCCGCCTCCCCCTCCCCCATCATCCCGCCCCAGGCCATCAGGCCCCCCTTCAGAGGGATCAGCAACAGCAGCGCGAATCTGCCTGCGAAGCGTCTCAGTGGGCTTCATGGTGCCCGTGGCCGTGCCAAAATCCCAACTCGCCATGCGCGAGTGCCTGAGGGGGAACAGGGAGGAGGAGCAGAAGAAGGAGGAGCAAGTGAAACGCAAGTGTCAGGACTAGTGCCCCGGGGTCAGCAACAGCGGCGCGTATCTGGCGCCTGAGCGTCTCAGTGGGTTTCATGGTGCCCGTGGCCGTGCCAAAGTCCCAACTCGCCATGCGCGAGTGCCTGGAGAGGGGAGGGGGCGGATGAATGAGGGAGAAGGCGAGAGGAGAGCACGTTAGGGTTGGGTGTGAAACATCCTTTGAATCAAACAATACTGCCAAACACATCCACCTGGAAGCACCTCGAATGGACAGCCGATACCCTACAGTACTGCCCTGCCCATCACTGACCTAGGAGCGCTGCTGGCAGCGGTGGCAGCAGCGACGGTGCTGGCAGCAACACCAGCAGCGAGTTTTGAGACAAGGTCCTAGCAAACATTGCTAGCACAAGAGCTCTTGGCACACGCACACACACAGCACAATAGCTCGAAACACTGCTTGCCACAACCGTATATATTTTATGCAGGGCTCTCCCCACTGACCTGGGCGCGCTGCTGGCAGCAGTAGCAGCAGCAACAGCAGCGGCGGCAACAGCAGCGGCGGATTGGGGAGGGCCGTCCACAGGGTCGTCTGGCTTCATACGGGGCGATACCACTCGCTCCCCCGCACTCTCCACCCTCTCCCTCACGCGGTCAATGATCCGCGGTGTCTTGCGCGCGTATTTGACAAACCGGTGCTTCAGTAATTCCTTGGCGCTGGGCCTCTGTAGGAAGTTAAGCAACCATTCAGAGAAACCATGCAATGGGGGAGCAAGGCAAGCGAGAGGCAAGGGTTGATGATCCGCGGTGTCTTGCGCGCGTACTTGACGAACCGGTGCTTCAGTAATTCCTTGGCACTGAGCCTCTGTACAGGCAGTCAACATGACTAAGAAACGATTGGAAGAAATGTCATCACAGAGCCGCCTCATTATCACCTTCCTCCCCCTCTCCTTTCCACCTCTCACCCTTTTCACCCCTCTCACCTGCCCACCTCTTACTCTCACATCTCCACCCACCCACCCCTCTCGACTCCGCACCCCCTCCTCTCACCTCCCTGGCTGTCTTGTTGAGGCAGAGATTGACAAACTCCTTGAAGGGCTTTGAAAAGTGATCGTCCAACTGCCGGCACAAATGGGTTGTGCAGGAGGGACGGGAGGCAAAGAATGGGAGGGGCGGGCAAGCGGGCAACGGTGGTAGTCTTGTTAAGGCAGAGGTTGACAAACTCCTTGAAGGGCTTTGAAAAGTGATCGTCCAACTGTAATAAATTGGTTGGGGGCAGTGGAGAGGAGGTAATATATGGGAGGACTTATTTTGTAACACCCAAACGTGGTGGATGGTTTATTTCTGGGGTAAGGAAGAGCGCGCGCATGGGGTGCAGATGGATAGCACTACTCACTGGGTGGGTACTTACCAGCATGATGTTGAGGATCAGAGGGTGGCGGGTACACTCTCACCTGTGGCGGAGGGTCCTTGGGGATGAGGAAGAGCGCACACACGGGGTGCAGATCCGCACTCACTGGGTACTCTCAGAGAATTCTGAAGAACCGCCTGCATCAGGCTGAGGGTCAGAGGGTTCAGGGTGCTCTCACTCACCTGTGGCGGGGGACCTTGGGGATGAGGAGGAGCGCGCGCAGGGGGTGCAGATCCGCAACTGTCACTGGGTACTCTAGAGAACCGGCTGCATGCATCTCACGCTCACCTGCACTGCAGATAGGTCACTGCACATCGGTCAAGGGTGCTCTCACTCACCTGCGGCGGTGGGACCTTGGGGATGAGGAGGAGCGCGCGCAGGGGGTGCAGATCCGCACTCACTCACTCACCCAAGGGGATACCCATGCCCCTTACCTGTGCACACACTCTCACCTGCGGCGGAGGGTCCTTGGGAATGAGGAAGAGCGCGCGCATGGGGTGCAGATCCGCAAAGGGCGGCTCCCCCTTGGCCATCTCGATGGCTGTTATGCCCAGCGACCAGATGTCCGCCTGCAAGGTGGGGGATTGGGGGGGTGAAGGAAGAGGACGGGGTGGACGGGAGGAGGAAGATGGTGGTGTCCTAGGAGAAAGATGCCTGCACACCACCCAGAACAAGGCGATTCAACAAGCACGGTTGGGGTTGAACAACGTGCCTCAGTTCATAAACACTTGGAGGACAGGACGCTCACCTTCTCGTCGTACCCGTCGGTGTTCTGAATGACCTCGGGCGCCATCCAGAAGGGCGTTCCCACAAACGTCTGTTCATTTAGCAAACGTGCCAGATGGGGGCACACGTGGCAGGCGTGGTGGGGCACACGTGGCAGGCATAGGGGGGCACACGTGGCAGGCATAGGGGGGCACACGTGGCAGGCATAGGGGGGCACACGTGGCAGGCGTAGGGGGGGCACACGTGGCAGGCATAGGGGGGCACACGTGGCAGGCATAGGGGGGCACACGTGGCAGGCAGAGGAGGGGCATGCATGTGATGTGAATACTAAGTTTTGAGGCGTTGAAACAGGCCATGCACAAAACGCGCTATGTGAGATGGAAAAAGGAAGGAAACAAAGAGGAAACTAGCAAGCAAACAAAACGGAAAGAGGCCTCTTGAGGTGCAGGCATTTCAAGGGCAAGAGCCAATACGTTTAGAAACGGCCTCGGCAAACTTGACGGACACAAGGCGACAATTGTATGAAGAAGTGTTTTGAGACGTCTCAAAACTTGACGGACACACTTCTTCATACACGGCCTCGGCTAACTTGACGGACACAAGGCGACAATTGAGTCAACTGAAAAGCCACCTTGTTACAAGGTCACTCCAAACGTACCTTTCGCTTCGAGATGGTTTTGGTGAGCTTGGCGGACACACCGAAATCAGCCACCTTGACATCCCCATCCTCGTTCAACAGAATGTTGGCCGCTGCTCAGTGGCGGGAGACAGGGCGGTGGGCAGGGAGAATGGGGACATGCGGTGAGGGGAGGACAAGGAGCGGGGGTTTAGGGGAAGAGAGCTGGAAGCATCGGGAAACAGGGGGGTAGGACAGGCAGGAAGGGTTACAGAGCAGCAGGCGACATGGTAGGGCATGCAGGGAGGGGGCTACAGAGCAGCAGGCGCCAAGCAGGATTACGATGTACCAAGCAGCAGTCAGGCCGAAACGAGACATGAGGTTGGGCAGGGGTACAGAGGGTAGGCAGGGTCGGGGCAACGAGAGCAGGCAGGGCCGCAGGGGTACCACAACAGGCAGGTAGAGACATGAGGCTGGCGGAGGATGAGCAAGCGGGGGAAAGCTGGGATCAAGTGCTCTCGCATCACCCTCCTGTATGATTGAGCACATGATCACACCCTTCTCCGACGGTCGTCAATGCAAGAACCATGCAGCCCACCTTTGATATCACGGTGGATCTTGTTCTCCGAGTGCAAATACTCCAGAGCCTGCAGCAGGTCGCTGGATGAATGGGCTTACTATACCGCCAACCCAACATCCCATGCGTCTCTCACATCGCCACCAACCATCCAGCTCAGCCCACCTTTGATGTCGCGGTGGATCTTCTTCTCTGAGTGCAGATACTCCAGAGCCTGCAGCAGGTCAATTACTCGTTGGGAGAACATGATACTACCGCAGCACAACCAAGCAGCCCACCTTTACCTTTGCACCACATTCAACCAACCTTTAATGTCGCGGTGAATCTTCTTCTCCGAGTGAAGATACTCCAGCGCCTGCAGCAGGTCGTGCAGAATGTAGGCAATGGACGCCTCATCCAGAGGGGCCTCCTGGAGCTGCACAGGGCGAGAGAGGAAGAGGGAGGCAAGGCAGGACAAGAAGGAAACAGGGCTGGATTTGAAACTCCAGGGCCTGCAGAAGGTCGTGCAGGATGTATGCTATGGAGGCCTCGTCCAAAGGAGAGAGATCAGGAGATGGAGGAAACGACAAAGGGGACTCAGGACTCCAGAGCCTGCAGCAGGTCTTAAGGGGGTGTGTTTTTGAGGCGCCTCAAAACAGACTACGGACGCCTCGTCTAAAGGGGCCTCTGCGAGAGATGGACTGTGAGTTGTTCGCACTGGGTGGGTGCTGTGCAGTGTGCGGTGCAGTGGTGCGTGCACTGCTGTTCCGTCCACTACAACCTGTTTATCAAAAGTGAAACTCACCAAGTCAGCCACACTGCCGCCTGCCATGAACTCCATGACGATCCATAGCTTCGTGTTGTGCACACTGCTGCCGTAGTACCTGTGTGGATGAAAGAAGAAAAAATACGTAGAATCAGAATATGCTGACTGCATATGAATACGAAACAGACTTGCATACTAATAGTATGTTGGAGCCACTATTAGCTCTGAGGGAAATATATAGTTACAATAGATGACGCTAGCCCGGTTTGTTAAATGTGGGAATCAAGGCTAAGTTGGAAAAAGGCCTCAGGCCTCAGGGTCTTGCTGGCATGACATGGCATGGCATGGCAGTATGGTATGCTACCTGGTGATGTTGGGAGCTCTGCACTCTGCCAGCAGCGCTATCTCCTGCTCCCATGCAGTGACACACGCACACACGCACACACGCACGCACGCACACAGGGAGGGAAAGATTGCATGCACCGAGAATTGTGCAAGTGCAGATTGCCAGGTCAGGTTAAACTGAATTCAGTAATTGAGAAGATTCGCGACGAGTTGCAAAGGCTCGACGAGACTTGCAAAGACTTGAGTGATTAACAGAAGACAGTAAGCATCATTTCCACTTCACGTGAACCTCTCTGCCGTGTGAGATGCTAACCTTTTGAATATCCTCCACGTCATCTTCACTGCAACACAGCAACACAGGCGATGGCATGTCATGGAGCAGACATGGCATGGCATGGTAAGGCACAGCAGCAGAGCGAACATGGCATGGCATGGCGTAAGAAAGGTAGGAAGTCCGTTTAAACCAAAACTTTGAATCATGATTGCTTGGCAGGAATGGGAGGACAAGCTTAAACAGGTTGCTGGGACGAGCAATAACCAGGAAACAAAACGGATGATGGCAAGACGGCGACAAGGGAAAAATGGGAAAAGTGAATGCGGACTAGGAACACGATTCCGTCAGTCAAGTCAGGGCGCGGGAACGTACGCTTCTTCGAGGTCGATGATCTTCACAGCCACCTGCTTGCCCGTCTCCTTGTCAACCCTGCACAATGTGGTAACCACATGGTAACACCACAGGTCAGCATGTCACCACATGATTGATACGAGTTTGAGACGGCTATAAGATTGATCGTCACTGCCACCTGCTTGTCCGTCTCCTAGTCAATCCCGCACAGTGCGGTGGGTGAGCTCATGGTAACAGAGCTCATGGTAACACCACAGGTCAACATATGGTCGTACGTACCCCAAGCCTCATGACACCAAGTATTCAATTTTCAAGTGCCAAAAACGAGAGCAAAATGCTGCACTAAAAGCCGCGAGAACGAAACTGTCATGAATCGAACATGACACGATTATGAAAGGACTTCCAGCCATGTCACGCATCGGCTCGCCACGCCACGACATGGAAACCGACCGTCAGGCATGAGAGTGGAATTAGGGGGATGAATTTTAAATACTAGGAGCGCGGTCTATACTAGGAATAATACTAGCAATGGCAATAACAACGGAGACTTACCCCTTGAACACATCGCCGAAGGAGCCTTTTCCAATAAGCTCTGTCAGCTGAAACCGCTGGTCCATGATGCCACGCAACGCCTTGAATCAGCCACCCGAGTCTTCGCCGCTTTATATCAAGGTGCAAAGTATGTCCCCTTAATTAGAGATAAACGTTTCGGAGATTTCGAGCTAACTCGTTTGTGGATTAGCAGCCAGTGCCTCTGCGCACAGAAGGGGAAATGCACCCTAAACGAGTGCTCATAGGCCTAGGGACTAATAACCCTAAACGTGCTCGTCAAGCACCAGCCTTTCCCTCAATAGAGAAACCCAAACTTGACAAAGTTGTTAGTATGCAGACGCCGCAAGCGCGGACAAATGCTCAAATCTAGGGCAGCATTGACTTGATACTAAGAGCGTTGTTGGGCAGATTGAACGCCGACGTGGCCGACAAGACGCTCAAAGGGCATGGATCGATGAGAGTTCAGGCAGTTAACCGTGGCAACTGGTTAGAAACATCGCTCTAGCTAGCCCGAATGCCAAACGGCCAAATGAATTGAGACCGAAGCTAGACTGCAGTTATATAGTGGTTCTGTGTGGGAAACTAAATAACTACATTTGGTGGGAATAATAATCTGAACAACCAGCTTCGACCAAGTCGGTCTGCAGGGCCAGCGAGGCGAGCGACAAGATATCTTTTCGCTGCACTCGTCCTTTCATTTTTTTGAGGTGCAGATTGGAGTTCGCCAGGCACGGACTGAAGTGGGGAACGAACATGGTAACCAACAGCTTCTCATCATCCCTGATGCAGTTGTGGTAATCCCTGTTTTACAGGTGTGCTTTTCCCGGTCGGCAAACTTCGCTAAAGCTAAACTTTGCCGTTTTTTCGCAGATTCCTCGAGAGCCGACCAGAGCAAACTTACCTGTCACGACAGCAACTGAGATGAGATTGCTAAACCAATATACCCCCCAGAAAATGCCGCATGGGTTATTTCATGGCTCCAATTCTGCCTAAACCACACCCGAGAGTAGTCTAAGCCGAGCTCTTGCCGTACCGTCCCCTGATCGGAAATCAGATCCGACGGCATTCGTCACAAAGATAGCCATTGCGAAAACATTGGGTCGGTCAGTAGGAGCATTAGCCCGACCTTGATCGCCGTCTGGTCTACATCTCTCCTCCTCTCTTGCCGAAAATGCCGGGAGACGAAGACGACGGCCTTTTAGACTCTGAGCTAAAACTCAGTATTAACCCCAACATTCAGGTCCGCATTGGCGGTCCGCTCAATCCGCCTACCACCGCTCCACACAACCCGCAACCGCATTCCCGGCACTCGCCCTCCATCCCCCCTCCGGAAATCACGGAAGAAATAGGCCACGTTCCCAGCAATCTCTCAGCATTCTACGGCGACCATGGCGCAGCGGCCTCTCAAGACGCGGAAATCGCGGTCAGCCCACTATTGGACTTAGAATCCCCTAACCACTCGTCTGTGGGAGGCGCAGGCGGCTTTATCTTCAGCCCCGCAAATGTCGGCGGCCAGATCACCTCGTTCTTAGGAGCGTCCGTCCCCGCAACTCTCGCCGTGTTCAGCGCCGCGTTTTCCGGGCTGGCTTTCGCCATAAGCAGCGCGCATCAGGGTCTTCCCGTGGCCGCGCATTTTGGCGACTCGGATAGCGAAGATAACTTGAGAGGCTTAACGCGTATGCCTCTAACGGGGACATCTGGAGACTCGTTAAGGGACCCATCCAGGTGTCAACAAGCGTGCATACAGTTCTGGTCCGACCCAAAATATTACTCCATAGCGACATTTGTACTGTGCCAAATATTCATTTTACTCGTTATTTACCTATTCCACGTCGTGGGGGCTTCTCCGGGTTTTACGGCTTTCCTCACCACCTCCTGGGCGGTCATTTTCGTGGGTAATTTACTCCTCGCGCTGCTTCTACCCGGACTACTCGCTCGAGAGTTCCTCAAGCGGTACGCCAAGCGCGATATACTGGAGGCTGCTAAAGTGGGTTACTCTATAGCGGGGCAGCGGAGAGGCGGGCGAGTGGTGGTGCTGCGAGGACGAGTGAGCCTGCCTTCATCGGCAGCAGCATCCATGCCAGGCGGCTCCTCTTTTGAGGGTGATCAGGTAAGGATTCTTGCTTTGAGATGGAAGATTGTTTTTTCAAAGCAGAAGCAGTGGTGCTGCGAGTGGTGTTGCGGCGAGGGCGAGTGAGCCTGCCTTCGTCGTCAGCAATGCCAGGAAGGTGCTCTCTTGAGGGGAGAGCTGTGGTATTATGGGAGTAAGTAAGATGGGAATATGGTGGGAGTGTGATGGGAGAATGGTGGAAGGGATTACCTTCCTTCCAGCACACCCCCCTCTCTTTCAAAGCTTCCTCATCTTGACCACGTCCCTTCAGTCTTACCATGCCCGCACAGCCACGGCCTTCTACCGCCGCCGGGAGCAGCACAGCACACCAATCAAACTCACCCTTTACCCGCCCTCTTCCCCCCAACCCCCGTGCACGTCACCAGGGCTTCCTCATCATGATTCATGAGCATTGAGCACCTCCCTTCAGTCCCATGCCACCAGGCTCCGTCCTATTTCAGGGATTCCCAAATAACCTCACTACTCTCCTCACCATCCGCTCCCCACCCTTCCCCCTCTCTCCCACAAACCTCCTTACAGGGCTTCCTCATCATGAGCACGTCCCTCCAGTTGTACCACGCCCACACAGCCACGGCTTTCAACCGCCGCCGGGAGCACCACGGCAAGCTAACCTTCTCCCCACCCTCCTCCTCTCCTCCCCTCCTCTCCTCTCCCAGGGTTTCCTCATCATGAGCACATCCCTTCAATCTTACCACGCCCGCAGAGCCACAGCCTTCTACCGCCGCCGTGAGCACCTGCGGCAGATCCTGGCCGTTGATTTCCGCATATCCGACGACAGCGGGGACAGCATTCTCGTGTGCGGGCGGCGGGCGGCGGACCGGGGGAAACTGGCGGCGTTTGTGCAGCACGGGACGGTGGTGCCTTTGGCGTCTAGCAAGCGGATCATCGGCTTCCTGGATACTTCCTGGCTGGAGCAGGAGCAGCAGTTTCTGGAGACCCATCCAAATTTGCAGCCTTCGGATCTGGTTATCTCCCGAGGGTAAGTTAAGGCATGAGGGAGGGAGTCTGACCTGCTTGTGTGCTTTACAAATCTACTCATAAGCTGCTCGGGAACAGAGCAGGAGCAGCAGTTTCTGGAGGCGCACCCAAACTTGCACCCATCAATTATGGTTATCTCCCGAGGGAGGGACTGCTGAGGGAATGATGGGGAGACGATCCAGAGCGATAGAAACACATTGTTGTCATGTCACCTCCAACCCACCCTTTCCTCTCCTCTACCCACAGGATTGGATGGAGGGGCAGATGGTGAGCGTGATGGGGCTGCTTAGGGAATCCCGGCCGCTAGAAGACGACGGGGAGAGCTGGTGTCGCTGTGCTCTCTCCTTCCCCACTCCTCCCCCACACCCACCCGACCCCCATACTCCATTTCCCCTTCCCCCACACCCCCCTCTCCACTTCTCCGTTCCCTGTATCCACGCAGGATGGTCACGGAGGGGCAGACGGTGAGCGTGATGGGGCTTCTAAGAGAAGCAAGACCTTTAGAGGACGACGGGGAGACGATCCGCAGCAGCAGCGTGT